TTTTTGCCTTTTTTTTTTTTTAAAGATTTTTTATTTATTTATCTGAGAGAGAGAATGGGAGACAGAGAGAATGAGAGGGGAAGGGTCAGAGGGAGAAGCAGACTCCCTGCCGAGCAGGGAGCCTGATGCGGGACTCGATCCCGGGACTCCAGGATCATGACCTGAGCCGAAGGCAGTTGCTCAACCAACTGAGCCACCCAGGCGCCCTGCCTTTTTTTTTTTTTTTTTTTAAGGAACTGTCAATCTTTGGCTCCATGTAATAGAACTCTCGCAGCTATTTGAACTGAGTGAAAAACTTAGGTAGTTTTATTATTACTCATTAGAATGAGGCAGTAACTATGGAAAGCAATAGGAGTAAGCTTCCGTGCTTCTACAAATGCTATTTTTCTTTGAAATCTGTTCTATTGCAAAAGCACTGTTGATGATTACTAAGGTATACCTTAAGTTTATTTTGTTTTATGTACTAAGTTATTTGGAAGAAGAATTCCGTTTAACTTGATCAGTGGTTCATTCTTAAAGTGTGATCACTAGTCCAGCAGCCTCAGTATTACCTGCTAGTAAGCAAGTGTTTGGCTACTTGTTAGAAATGCTTCTTGGGCTCTCCCCCCACCCCTCCCAAACTCTGGAGTAGGGCTGGAAATCTCTTTTCACACGCTGAAGTTTGAGAATCACGGAAGTGTATAATCACTCCTATCATTGAAATCTTTCAGACCCTGGGAAAGGCTGGTCTGTACTTCCTTTATTTCTTCTACTCAGTATTTGATTCTGGCTATGTCCCAGGCACTGTTTAGGTACCTGGGCAACACTAGTGGGTAGGAGCGACAAAATCCTCCTGCAGTTTACATTCATAGGAGGGAGACTGACAATGACCAAGATTGTGATAGATATGCTGTGGAAAATTAGAATTAGATGGTAGAGAGTGTATTGGGGAAGGCCTTTCTGAGGAGGTGAAATAGAAGTTGAGTTTTGAATGACAAGAAGGGCCACCTATATGAAGATCAGTGCAAAGGGCTGTTAGAAATGAGTTTGGTGTGTTTGAGGAGCTGAAGGAAGGACAGTGTGCCTGGAGAGCAGTAGCAAGGGGAAAAAGGTATGAAATGAAGTTGGAGAGAGAGGGAGAAGCCAGATCATGTAGACCCTGTAAGGACTTTTTTCTCCCATCTTCAGTTTTTTTTTTTTAAATTGTGAAATACATGTGAAATTTACTGTCTTAACCATTTTTGTAGTGTACAGTTCAGTGGTATTAAAGACATGCATACTGTCGTGCAACCATCCCCATTATCCATCTCTAGAACTAAGACTTCGAGTGATGGGGGACACTTTAGGGAGGTTTTAGACAGAGGACTGACCTAAACCAACTTTGCAATAAAAGGATTACTGACCACTAAGTTGAAATCTGATCAAAGGAGGGCAAGAAGGAAGCAGCAAGATCAGTCAGGAGAGTATTGCAGTCATCGATGAGATACGGTGATCTGGCAAGGATAGCAGGGTTGGGGATGCTGAGAAGCATTCAGATTCTGGTTATATATATATATATATATATATATTTAAAGATTTTATTTATTTATTTGACAGAGAGAGAGAAGACAGCAAGAGAGGGAACACAAGCAGGGGCAGAGGGAGAGGGAGAAACAGACTTCCCGTGGAGCAGGGAGCCCGATGTGGGGCTCGATCCCGGGACACTAGGATCATGACCCAAGCCGAAGGCAGACGCTTAACGACTGAGCCACCCAGGCCCACAGATTCTGGTTATATTTTGATGATCAAATCAACAGAATTTGCTGGTTGTGACATGTGAATGATTGTGGCTAATATATAAAAGAGGGGTCAAAGATGATATCAGGTCTTTTTTTGTCTGAATAATTGGTGGAATTCAAGCGACTCAGGTTTGAGGAAGAAAAGCACCATTTGTTAAATTAGAAATGCTTCTTGAATATCCAAGCAGGGATGTTGAGTAGGCAGTTGGATAAGGGAGTCTGGAGTCAGGGAAGAAGTCAGGTTGGAGACATGATTTTGGGGCTTGTCAGCATTTGCATGGTAATTAAAGCTATGAGGCTGAATGAGATCATCTAAGTAATGAGCAGAGAGAGGGAGAAGTCCAGGACTAAATTCAAGGGTAGGAGAGCTTACATGAGAAGGAGCAGCCAGTAAGGTAGGAAGAGAACCAAAAGAGAGTGATATCCTGGAAGGCAAGAGAGGAAAGTGTTTCAAGGACAGAAAAATCTATCGACTGTGTCAAATGCTGCCAAGACGTTGAATAAGACAAGCCCTGAGAATTGGCCATTTTAGCACATTTTAGCAATGTGGTTGTTGGTAATCGTGACAAGTTTTTGCAGTGCTGTAGTGGGTTCAGAAGCCTGGTTGAAGTGTGTTAGAGATACGGAGAAGCAGCAGAGACAGTGAGTATAGACAATGTTAGTCCAGTCTTCATTTAGAGACATAGCAGATCTGTACAAAATACCTTAACCTAATGGCACAGGTTAATGTATCAGAGCTTTAGTGTTAAAAAATTTGTTACGTAATATTTCCGTAGGCATGTGTTTGTTATTTCAATTTTCCAAATGAAATTTTGAGGTGAAATTCAGCCAGTTGCAAAATCGGCTTAAGAAAGGTATGTTTATTTAAAAAGTTTTTTTTAAAAAAGATTTTGTCAGAGAGCGAGAGAGAGAGGGCGCGTGCATGCGCGCGCAAGCCAGGGGCATGGCAGGCAGAGGGAGAAGCAGGCTCCCTGCTAAGCAAGGAGCCTGATGTAGGACTCGATCCCAGGACCCTGGGATCATGACCTGAGCCGGAGGCAGACGCTTAACCGACTGAGCCACCCAGGTGTGGAAAAAAAAAAAAAAGAGTTTTTTTCTTTTAAAGATTGGCTTATTTTAGAGCGAGCAAGTGCAAGTTGTGGGGAGGAGGGGCAGAGGGGGAGAGAGAGAGTCCTAAGCAGACTCCATGCTCAGCTCAGAGCCCAACGTGGGGCTCGATCCCATGACCCTGAAATCATGACCTGAGCTGAAGAATTGGACACTCAACCGACTGTGCCACCCAGGCACCCCAGGAGGGCTATGTTTAGATTTTAGAAGGAGTCTTCCTGATGCTCTTTAAATAGCCTTAGAACATTCCTTTCTTTAATCAAACACTCTACTTTGAGATCATTTGAATGAAAGGGATGTTTCCATAAGACATTTTCAACAATGTTTGGTGGCCAAAGGATGCTAGCTTGGTAGACCTTTTTGTATCCTCCTGCAGGGAAAACACACAAAAATTTTAAGGCTCTCTTCAAACTTCAGTTTACTTTGTTTTATTTAGCCTATTAAGTAAAATACTCTGCTTTACTGTCTGATTTTTAAAATTTGACAAGGTATATTTAAATACCTTGAACTTTGGAGCAGCCAACTCTTTTCACTTTAGGTACTTATTTAAAGCAAAAGCTTAAGTTTCTCTTCAGTGAAAGAATGATAATCTTTCACAAGAGAAATAGATTCCTGATTGACAAAACACACATTTTTCTACTCCTAAGGAAGTAGAGGGAATATTAAAATGTTTTATTGAATCTAATGCCCTTATTTGTAAAATGCACCATTATATGTATTACTAAGAAAAAAAAAATGCTTCCATTTAGCATTAAGATGCAATAGATTGTAAGAGATGTGGGAGTGTCGGGGGAAAAAAGTTCATCTTAGAATCAATGAAGCACAGAATTCGAGCTCCAGGAGGGTGAATTCAGGTTCTGGCTGTGTTTCTAACCAGCTGTGGGACCACCAACAAGTCACATAGAATCTCTTTGCCTCAGGTTCCTCACCTGTATGGTGAGAATAATAATAACTGATCCACCTGTCCTCATAGGATTATAATGAGGTTGAAATGAGATGAATGAGAGTTATTTTGAGAAGTGGAATCTACTGGGCAAATTCAGGGTATTTATTTGAAATTAACTGTTAGATCTGATCAGGTGACTGAGCCGTGTTGTCAGGTTTAAAATTTTAGAATTCAATTGTAGACATTTGAAAGTATAACATTTTCTCCTAAACCATTTTCAGTCAATCTGGAAATATCTTTTTTTATAGTTTCAGAATCAAAGAGAAAACTCAAAGCTAATATAACCCAATATTCTCATCATTCAGAATTAACAACTGTTAATATTCTGTAACTGCTGTGATCGTTTTCAGCCTTATTTTGATATATTTATGACATAAAGAGGTAAAAGGATACAATAGTGAACATTCATATGCTTGCCAGCACAGGTGAAGCCCCCTATGTGGAAACGGTATCTTATATTTAGATTAGCATCCTGTCTTCATAATAGCCTAGTGATTTAGGATACCGTTTCTCTTGTTTCAGTCTTTAAAACTTGTAAATAAGCAAGTTAACTGCATCATATGTGTTTTATCCTGGAATATGCGGGAGAAGCTACTTTGTGCTAGTGTTTCCTTGGTTTGAGTTTCCTCAAAATTCTACCTGTGGCTTTGGAGATACAGCTGTGTAAATTCAAAATATGACGCCTGTGAAATCATAATCACAGCTAGCCTATTATTTGTCAGGCATTGTACCTAGACAGTTTTCGTGTGTTAAGTTTCACAATAATTCTTCTGGTTAGGTGTTTTCATTTTTTTTTTTTTTTCTTGAAGATTTTTATTTGAGAGAAGAGAGAGGGAGCACAAGTGGCGGGGGCGGGGGTGGGGGGCGATGTATGAGCAGAGGGAGAGGGAGAAGAAGACTCCCACTGAGCAGGGAGCCCAACGAGGAGCTTGATCCCAGGACCCTGAGATCATGACCTGAGCTGAAGACAGGTGCTTAACTGACTGAGCCACCCAGGCACTCCAGGTGCTTTCATTTTATAGATTAGGAAGGCGTGGCTCAGAGAAGTTGAGTAACTTGGCCAAAGTTCCCCAGCTATTAAGTTGTGGAGCTAATGATTTTAAATAAGGTCTGCCTTATACCACAGCCCACATGTTCTATACCATGCTGCCTCAATCCTTGTCAGTAATCACAATCTGTTTCTTTTGTAGGCAGAACCCAGAGACCACGTTTGAAGTCTATGTTGAAGTGGCCTATCCTAGGACAGGTGGCACTCTTTCAGGTATTTGCATGTTTGATTATGATATGTGTTTATTGTATGAGATGGCTGTGCAGGACATCGCTTCTCAGCCTTTTGGCTAAGATCAGGTGGAGATAGCTGTCCATGTGGGATATGTGAATATTCTAAACTGTGATTTATCTTTAAATATATTTGTCTTTCCCTTTTATTCCACATCATCCTAGGGAATGGAGAATAAGCACAGTGAACAATTTAAGAGTCACTGCCATGACAGGCTTGAAGTATGGCTTTATTCGTTGTAATCATTGAGTTTTGGTTTGTATCTTTCACAGATGCCTGGAAGTCAGCTGCTTAGTATGAAATATTGTCACCTTGCTAATGAGGAAGGCTTAGAATTAGGTTACAAAATAATATAAAGGGAAATCTGTGCCACTAAACTGGAAGGAGATGTTTGAAATGGATTTAATGTAGTAAATTTTATGTCTGCTGGTAAAAGTTGGAAACGAGTTGAAGAAAACACCTCTCCTGGCTTTAGATTTTGGACTAATTTGGATGTGTATTCCTGGACAACAGGGTCTCAGATAAGGTTAGAGTATCTTGCAAAGACTGAGTATATTCTCAACTAAAATCCTTCTTGGTTAATGAGAAAAAAAAAAATAACCCTGTAACCTAGTGTTCTTTTTTTTTTGGTAACTAAGAGAGTGTTGCATTTGCCAGAGGTATGTCAGGGAGCAACTCTTGGTCCACACACACAAACAGTTGTGCGTATTACTTGGTGTTTAGGGAGAGTGAATTTACTTGGATTAGAAACTTGGAGTAATCAGGATTCCAGTGGTGCTCTTAATTGGCTATGCAGTATTTTCTATTTCATTACGTTAGACTGTAATACTCACAAAACAGCTACCTTTTATTGAGTATCTGTTCCTTTGTCCTATGTGCTTGACATTTTATCCTTACAATACAACCCTTTAAAGATAGTTGGGTGGCAGCTCCATTATACCTACGAGAAAATAGAATCTCTGGTCAAATAATTTACCAGGATCATCACTGTGCAGAAGAACCAGGATTTTTGGTTTCAAGTCTTCTTTACTCTGCTGAGTTGCCTTCTTGAGGGCCATGACCATGTTGGGCACATCTCTCCATGTCATCTACAGGGCTTTGCATAATGTCACTAATATTTGTTAAAATGAATGAATTTCTCTTAATAGCAAAAGTGATATAACTGTGTGTTCCACTTTCTGGATTATCTAATGAAGGTTACAAATTTGTGGTCATTCTAGAAGTAGAATGTTAACATCCATGTTAAGTTATCCCTCTTATTCTGCAAACCATTGCCTTGGAAAGTGTCTGTTATTAGGTGCATACCTGCAGCAGCCCCTCTGTGGGCCTACTTTACAGAGTAACCATTTGATGATGATGGCTATGATTTGACAGATAAATTTAGGGACAGAATTTTTCTTATTTTACAGTTGCTAATGTTTCCTCTTTCAGTGTTCTAGGATTTTTTCCTCCCAAAGTTAAAATGATTTTTTTTGGGGAAAAAGAACAAAATTAGAGAAGTACAAATAAGATGGAAGAATGAACAAAATGCGAAGTCTTTATCTTACCCCAGTCATCTTAATTCCTCTGCGCCATAGACAACGTCTTCCATGTTTAACCCTTTAGTATATTTTAAAAACTTTTAATTTTGAAAATATTTTTATTTTATTTTTTAAAGATTTTATTTATTTATTTGACAGAAGAGAGACACAGCGAGAGAGGGAACACAAGCAGGGGGAGTGGGAGAGGGAGAAGCAGGCTTCCCGCCGAGCAGGGAGCCTGATGCGGGGCTCGATCTCAGGACCCCAGGATCACGACCTGAGATGAAGGCAGACGCTTAACTGACTGAGCCACCCAGGCGCCCCTTGAAAATATTTTTAAAAGATGAAAGTTATAAGAATGGTCAAGTGCATATGCCCTTTCCTCAGCTTTGTCAGTTGTTACCCAATTTTGCCATATCTGCTTTATCACTCTATATGTATATGCATACTCTTTTTGCTGAGCCGTCTGAGAATAAATTGCGGATATAGCGACCCTTTATCCCTACATACTTCAGAATATATCTCCTAAGAATTTTCTTACATAACTCTAGTACAATTATTGAAATACAAGAATTTAATGTTGATATAATGTCAGTTGTCCATATTTAAATTTAATCAGTTGTGCTGATAGTATCCTTTATAGCATTTTCCTTTCTGATCCAGAATCCAATTATTCAGGGTCATGCAGTCCACTCAGCTTCACATGTATTTAGTTTCTTTCAGTAAGTAAGAGTTTTGCAGCCTTTCCTTACCTTTTATCACAGACATGTTTTGAAGAATTTAGGTCTGTTGTTTTGCAGAAGGTCTCTAGATTTGGATCTGATCATATCCTCATGATAGATTCGGGTTATGAAATTTTGGCAGGGGTCTCTGTGTGTTACTGTGTATCATATCAGCAGGAACATGATGTCTGTCCCTTATTTGTGGAAAAAAAGTACATGGAACTTACATGTACAGTTTAGCAAATAATGATCATGTGCCCATGTTACTGCTTTCCAGCCTAAGAAATATAATGTTTCCTGGGTCTAAGGAATACTATTACTGCAGGAGGGCTCCCTGCCTGGCCCTGTGCTTTAGTGGGCCCTACTTTGGCGCTCTTCCATGGGGCAGAGTCTTTGGGCCCTGTGGGACATGCCTGCTTAGAGCCTGAACTTTTCCATGGTAGACCATACTTTAAGTACCTAGGATCTCAGAATTTCTTGCCTGAGCTTGTTTCCAGAGCCTGTGTGAGTCCCTTTCCTGGGGTCCATACTTCTGAGGGTGGGCTGGGCTGCTGGTGTATTCAAGGGATGGCCTAAATGTGGCTGTGTGTGGAGAGTAGGGTATGGGATGGAGCTTGGACTTGTGAGTGGAGGTGACTGTATGCTTGTGTGTGAGGTCCTTGGCTGTGTGGGGTGGAGAAGAGGGTGATGGGTGGTGGACCAGTGGCCAGTTCTCCCTGGATCAGCATGTTTCTGCATGGGACTCTGGGGAATCCCAAAATTCTCTGTATGAATCTGGCTTTCCAGGCAGTTATAAAGGTATATTTGTCATGATAGGAGGATAGAACATATTTAATATTTTGTAAGCTTGTTTCATATCTGTTAAATACTAACATACATGGTATGAGGGCCTCTATTTGTACTTTTGCTGAAGCCCTGTAAGTGCTGGAGGTGGGTTTGATTGGCACCCCAGAGGTTCCTCCTTTCCTTTCTCCAGAGGTAACTATCCTGACTTTTATGATAATCATTTGTTTTTCTTTATAGTTTTATGACCTAAGTATATCTCCTTGAAAAATATAATTTATTGCTTGCTTCTGAATTTTATAGAAACAATTATTCTTTGTGTAGTTTTGCTGCTTTTTTTGCTCGAGGTTATGTTTGTAAGGGTTCTTCATGTTGTGTGTAGCTATAGTCATTCATTTTCATTGCTGTGTAATACACTGTAGGATTATATCACAATTTATCCGTTCTGTTGAAAACACTTGAAGTTGTGTGCAGTTTTGGGCTATTACAAGCGATGCTGCCGTAATCATTCCTTATACGTGAATCCTGGCGCACTTAAACGTACATTTCCTTAGGATAGATACCATACTTGATTACTGGATCATGCTAACCTGTTTTTCAAAATTATGCTAGTCTACACTCCCTCCAGTTTGATAGTCCTTATTACTCTACAACTTCATCAGTCCTTGGTACAGTTAGATGTGTTGATTTTTGGCAACCTGATGGTTATATAGCAGTATCTCATTGTTGTTTTTATTTGCAATTTCCTGATGACTAATGAGACCAAGCACCTTCTGCTTATTGGCCTCTTGAATAGCTTGTTTTTTAAAGTGCCTGTTCAGTCTCTTGCTAACTTTTCTTACTGAGTTTTCTACCTTTTCCTCATTGATTTTTAAGATTATATAATGGATACTAATTATCTCGTTGTATGTATTACAAATATCTTCTTCCACTCTATGGTTTGTCTTTCACTCTCTTCGTGTTAACTTTGATCGTAACTTCTTGATTTTAATATAGTACAATTGACCAGTATTTTCCTACTCCACAGTTATGAAGATATTTTCCTCTAAGAAATTTATGGTTTTGCCTTTCGCATTTAGGTCTTTAATCTTTTAAGGTTTTTAGTTTTCTCTCAGATGATTAGCTTATTTAAAAATTGGGAGACTAATTGGGGCGCCTGACTGGCTCACTTGGTAGAGCATGCAACTCTTGATCTCAGGGTTGTGAGTTCAAGCCCTACATTGGGTGTGGAGCCTACTTGAAAACAAAACCAAAACCAAAAAAACAATTGGGAAACTAAATCTGCATTACTGGGGTCTACTACTCCTTTACTTAAAACATTTTAATAAAATGATCAGGTACTTCTAGGGGCACCTGGCTGGGTCAGTTGGTAGAGTGTGTGACTCTTTATCTTGGAGTTGTAAGTTCGAGCCCCATGTTGGGTGTGGAGGTTACTTAAAAAATAAGGTCTTAAAAAAAAATAATCAGGTACTTCTAAATCATACCAAAAAAAAAAATCACCTCACATTAAAAAAAAAAAAAAAAAAAAAAAGATGACAGATCTGAGAAAGGCCAGTAAGAAATATTACTAGACTTTAGGGGCACCTGGGGTGGCTCAGTTGGTTAAGCGTCTACCTTCAGCTTGGGTCATGATCTACAGGGTCCTGGGATTGAGCCTCCTGCATCTGGCTTCCTGCTCAGCGGGGAGCCTGCTTCTCCCTCTCCCTCTGCTCCTACCCCTGCTTTTGCTCTCTTCTTCTCTCTCAAATAAATAAATAGAATCTTAAAAAAAAGAAATACTACTAGACTTTAGAAACTGTTCTTTTCCCCTCAATTACTTTTAATGTCTCCCTTACTGAAGACATGTATTGTAAGCGCTCTGTGTACTGCACTCTGAAGAGCATTCCATGACCTCCATGGAAGGGACATGTGATCTGTCAGCTCCACTTAGTGCATCAAGACCCTGGACACTGAATAG